TCTCTCTCTCTCTCTCTCTCTCTCTCTCTCTCTCTCTCTCTCTCTCTCTCTTTCTCTCACTCTCTCTCTCTCTCTCTCTCTCTCTCTCTCTCTCTCTCTCTTTCTCCGGCAATACAAAACCAGAAGGTAGTTCGTATTAACATTGTAGATCTAAACTTTTTTAAAGATAAGTTGTCCTTCATTTTTAAGAGGGCATATAGTTGCAATTATTGTTAAACATGTTGCCATCGTTAAAACCATTCATGCCATTGAATGTATAATATGCGTTTATTTTAAACATAATAATATAAGTATACATAACTACACGTGCGTGTGTGCGTGTGTGTGTGTGTGTGTGTGTGTGTTTGTGTGTGTGTGTGTGTGTGTGTGTGTGTGTGTGTGTGTGTGTGTGTGTGTGTGTGTGTGTGTGCATACTAACCTGTGCTCACACATTATACTACGCACGACGTCTACTAATAATATGTGAATAATATGTGCTTAAAGAATACACTTCTTTTCTTTCAATCTCTGAAACTGCCATCATTATCACATTAATTTCTGTTTGAACTTGAAATGTAATTTTATCGTACCAAAAGTCACTTGCAGGCTTTTGGACGTTCCACTAATAGGTCAAATTTCTTTACCTTCTCTTTGTTGTTTCTCCCCACCTGTCTTGCGTTCTTCCTACACTGAAAGGTTATCATTCTGCCGACGTGATTATTAAAATACAGCATTTGTTTTACCGTGCAATCGTTCGCTGTCACTTGCGTCTCCTCCACCCCCCCCCCCCCCCCAGGTACACAGTTTCATGGGCAGTGCCTGTACAGAGAAGCACAACTTTGACAGGGCGCGTACCCATCACACGGCTGATCTCAAGATAGGGGAGTCAATGTGAGTAGCTGGAAGCTAATGTTGTTTGTTTGTTGCTGCCGTTGCTCTTGTTGTTGATCTTGCTATTTGTGTTTGTTGCTGTTGGTTCTACTTCCGCTTTTGTTTTTTATTATTATTATTATTATTATTATTATTATTATTATTATTATTATTATTATTATTATTAATATTATTAATAATATTATTATTAATAATAATAATAATAATAATAATGATAATAATAATAATAAATAGCATTTGTATAGCGCATATCCCCGCTCAACAGCAGGCTCTATGCGCTTTACACTAGATTATTACCCCAGCAGACCAAAGAACACTCCGAAACATTCTCAGCTTCCCTGGAAGCATACAGTGCAAGCAGCTGATTAAGCGCTCAAACACTAACAAACGGACAAGATCTTTCGCTATCTATAGCCGGGTACCCATTCCCACCTGGGTGAAGTGAGGAAAATTCGTGTAAAGGGCCGTCAACAACACCACCATAGAAAACAAGATCAATTATTTAAAGGCTCGAACTGTGGCACGTAGATGCCTCAGGGAGAGCAAAAGACAATCATTCCAAAAATACATCTCCAAAATCAAAAGCCAGACACCACTCAACCAAGTTTTCCAAATTGCTAAAAAATTCTTAGGTAGACGCACAGACACAATTCCGCACGTCCAGAGGCCGGATGGAACCACAGCTGAAACACAAGTAGACATCGCAAATACAATAGCTACATCTCTCGCCAAAAACTCATCCCAAGCAAACTACAACGCCACTTTTCAAAACATCAAAACTAACAGAGAAAAACAACACATAAACTTCCACTCAAACAACACTGAAACCTACAACGCAGACTTCACAATAGACGAACTAACATCGTGCATCTCGGACCTGGGCGATACAGCCCCGGGACCGGATGACATCCACAACCAGATCATTAGACACTTACCCCCAGAAACACTCACACTCCTACTCTACATATACAGCGACATGTGACGGTCGCACTCCTTTCCGGAGTCTTGGCGTCTCGCCACTGTCATTCCAATACCCAAACCAAACAAAGACCACACACACCCATCCAATTACAGACCAATAGCACTAACGAGCTGTCTCTGCAAACTGATTGAAAAAAATATTCACAGGCGACTCATGTGGTTTCTGGAAACGACGAGCTCGCTGAGCGGTCTCCAGTGCGGATTCAGGAAAACTCGATCCACTCTGGATCACCTGGTCCGCCTGGAGACCTTTATACGCGAGACGTTCGCTGAAAGAGGCCACATGATCGCCATCTTTTTTGACCTAGAAAAAGCCTTTGACACAACCTGGAAGTATGGCATTCTTCGAGACCTGCATGCATTGGCAACTTCCTGAAGAACCGTTCCTTCCAGGTTCGTGTCGGATCCTCCCTTTCAGACCCCCAACAACAGAAGGGAGTCCCCCAGGGGAGCATCCTTTCTCCTCTCCTATTTGAAATTAAAATACATTCCATAGTGAAAACCTTCCAAAACAACATAGACAGCTCTTTATACGTTGACGACTTTTTGATATGCTGCAGTTCAAAAAATCCTCATTTGAGATCTATGGAAAGACAGCTGCAAACGCAGTTGCACAAACTCGAAACGTGGGCAAACAATTACGGTTTCAAGTTCTCCCCGTCAAAGACGGTTGCAGTACACTTCTGCCGAACAGGCAGACGTGTGCTGCAGCTGGATTTGACACTATACGGGGAAAGGATTCCCGTCCAGGACCAGGCTCGTTTCCTCGGCGTCATTTTCGACAAAAAAACTCACATTCATACCACACATCAAAGACCTTCGTGTGAGGTGCCAGAAAGCGCTAAACGCTTTGAAAATTCTATCGCATCCGGAGTGGGGCGGGGACTCAAAACACCTTCTCCACTTGTACATCTCCCTTGTCCGGTCCAGGCTTGACTACGGCTGTCAAGTCTACGGATCGGCAAAACCACACATCTTAAAAATGCTAGACCCAATACAGAACCAAGGACTCCGTCTCGTTCTGGGGGCTTTCCGCACTTCTCCGGTGGAGAGCCTCCTGGCCGATGCCAACATACCACCACTCTCACTCAGACGCACACAACTCTCACTACAATACGCAGTTAAACAGAGCTCAACACCGGAAAATCCAGCGCACAACAGCATTTTTAAAACAAACCCAGAAACCATAAACAAATTCCAAGACAACGAAAAACTCATCAAACCCTTCGGCCTCAGAATCCTTGAGGACCTAAAAAAAAATACACTTTTCCAAACAAGACATCCAACAAATTCTTTTCCCCGACCTCCCTCCGTGGCACCTCACCAAGACAAAAGTAGATTAACAGCTGACCACACACAACAAAGAAAGCACAAACACCAAAACTTTTAAAGCAGAATACAAAAAACTAATAGATAAATACCCTGGTGCGGAGCTCATCTTTACGGACGGCTCCAAAAAAGACAATGAAGTGGGCGCCGCAGCGCTATCTTCCAACAGTACACACCAGAGGAGACTTCATCCTGAAGCCTCCATTTTCTCTGCTGAGGCCACTGCCATTGACATGGCACTGGACTCCGTAGAAAATTCTCCAAACAAATCTTTCCTAATCCTTTCTGACTCTCTGTCTTGCATCACCTCAATCACAAACTACACACTCTTACACCCAAAAATAGTTAGGCTACAACAGAAAATTCACACACCATCCGAGATAGGAAAAAACATCATGTTCGCATGGATACCTAGCCATGTGGGCATCCGAGGAAAGGAGCAGGTAAACGACCTGGCGAAGAAAGCTTCATCCCTTCTGCTGGGATCAACGACAAACACTCTCCCGCAGACGGACTTTAGAAATAAAGTCAAAAAGTACACCTCCAGTCTGTGGGAGAACCACTGGGTAAAGCAGAAAAAAACCTATATGAAATAAAACCCAAACTAGAACAACGAAATCCTTCGGACCTCTCCAGAAGAGACGAAGTCATTTTTACTCGATTGCGCATCGGACACACGGCCCTGACCCACAAATACCTCCTACAGGGAGATGAGAAGCCGTTCTGTGTCGGGTGCGACACAGCTTTTACCGTTAGACACATCTTAACCGAATGTCTGGACTTTGGAGAGATCCGAAAGAAATATTATAAATGCAAGAAATTGCAAGACGTTTTTTCCGTCGTTGGTCCCAGCAAAATTTTGAATT